GCGGCTAGTGATAACCAACCCCAGTGTGGCCGCTGAAGTTGCTGCCACACCAAGATTTGAACTCGCGATCTCTCCCCTCAGGGCGAACTTCCTAACAGTTAAGCTACAAGCTCACGGTCTAGCTGGTATTGGACCGGGGATACACAGTGACATATATGCGTACACCGATGCGTACACCGATCTGAGCTCGTAGCTCAACTGTTAGGACGTTCGCCCTGACGGGGGAGATTGCGAGTTCAAATCTCCGTGTGGCAGAAATTTCAGCAGCCATACTGGGGTTGGTTATCACTAGCTGATGACGCCTAATAAGGCAGAAAAGGCCTTCCCAGTGTCGCATATCTTTGCTGGTAATGTTCTTCTGCCTATATGCTAGCCACCTCGCGGTGGAGGCTCGAGAGAAAGAGCTCTAATGGCAATATGGACGGACGAGCGCGTCCTCTACCAGATCGGTGTACGCATCTATGCCACAACAATATATGTATATATTATAGTAGGTGGGCGCACATCAATCTGTAAGGAACTCACTGGCCCCGTTGCGCCTCAGGGCTAGTTCTCGAGCCTCGCAAGCAGCCGCTCAATGGCCAGCACATATATTATAGGCAAGACAACGAGTCCGTTGTGGGCTCAAGTATCGGGAGCAGCTACCCCGGGGTTCGCTATGGCTGGCTGACGACGGCTAACAAGCCAGAAATAGGCATTCCAGTCTCTCTTGTCATTTTCTGTAATCTATTTTCGCCTATATAGATACATACACATGCTTATGTACTCATAAATGGTCAGACAGCAGTGATCTTCGACTAAGTTATGCGTTTACGACCCGTCTTGCAGACTACGTCAGTAAACTTTCTGCGTCACATGTGTACACAGGTTTCTATTTCCGGTCGCAAAGCATAGTTAGGATTCAGCTTTTTCGAAGTAAAAAACAAATTAACCTGGGACAGAGCTGCCCGAATTTACCACAGCATCTTCTCATCTGCTAAACTGATTCTAAGTTGTTTTGTTTGAATGAAGGTAGTATTTCGATCTGAAAAGTGTACTAATTTAGGTGTATTTTTATTCTACCCCGCGTTTTTGCTCGTTATGCAGATTTCCAAACAACTACTTGCCTGCACTTACAACCACTACCGCCATTTAGGGAGAACGAACCTTTTCAGTTAAAAAGTACTCAAGAAACACCACCCGATGGCTTTTGTAGTTGGACCTAAAGTAGTCGTATGCGCGGAGTTCGCCTTTGCACTCAGTCCTCTGATAGATGTCCCTGCATCGGGCCCACACCTATATAAAGTAAATCGTTACTGATAGACCATTGTCCGTTGAATTTCCATATTTTTGAAGCGTCAAGTACTTACTCCACTGACTAAAAGTTGAGTGCCTTTGCTAATTTTCTATTGAAAAAGCCCTACCCAGGTTAATCATTTTAAGAGAGAAGTGATTCCTGTTGACATTTTGACCTTGGAGATTTCTTGAGACTAAAAAGACGCAAACAGTCATAACAGTGATGTTTTTTGTGTTTTGGCAATTCGTACCAATTAGACTATCTCCCTCCCTCCTCCAGCTAACTGTATGCATAGAATTAGAGTTCATGAGCCAAAACACCTTATCGATGGGTGTGGTTCTGTTTTTTTCTTTTCTCTGCATTAATTGCACTGATGATGATTATGATAATTAAAAAACTACTTTATGTGGTCATTTTTTAGAATCCAGCCTACATGAAGAACGACTTCCACATCAAAGTTGAGACAATGCATGTGCAAAACAAGGTTGACCTTGAAAATGTAAGCCTCGTCTCGCCGTTTCTTTTTAACACAGGCTGCCCACCCATTTAGGTGCACCAGTTGCCGCCCGAACTGCTTGAGCAGCGGGAAGTGATTGTGATTGACATTGCCAACGATCCTCTCTACTCACAAGCCGACTACAAACCCGAATGGGATCCAAAAACCTTCCAGTCCAAGGTCACCGGTCTTGGACCCCTGCTGGGCCCCAAATGGTGGGAGGTAGGCTCACCGTCCCCCCTCAGCCCTCC